AAAGTAAAGAAGATAAAATTTTAAACTCTAGGGGCTGACTTTGATGTTTTAAAACTGAAAGAATCCGAATACATTTCGGATTTATGTTCAAGATTGATGACTGTTGTAAATCAACTAAGAAGATATGGGGAGGAAGTAGATGATGTGCGTGTGGTAGAAAAGATCCTTCGTTCTTTAACACCTAAATTTGATTATGTGGTGCGTGCTATTGAGGAGTCTAAAGATTTAGACTCTATGACGGTAGAACAATTGGAAGGTTCTTTACTAGTCCACGAAGAGAAAATGAAAAGGAGAAAAGAAGAGTCACTAGAGCAACTTCTTAAAACTCAGACATCATTTAAAGGTTTTGAAGGTGAGAAAAATTACAAAGGAAATGGACAATGGCGAGGTCGTGGAGGTCATGGAGGCCGTGGAAGAAGAAGAAGTTATACCAATAAATTCAACAATGAAGATAAAAGTCACCAATCATTCAGAGGTCGTGACCGTGGTCAACAAGGAGGTAGAGGACGTGGAACCTATCAAGGTACAAATGAAATGAGGTATGACAAATCTAAAATTGAGTGTTATAACTGTCATAAATTTGGACATTACTCTTGGGAATGTCGTAGTAATGTTGAAGAGAAAGTTAATATTGTTGACAATAACAAAGATGAAGATAAGTCAACATTGTTATTAGCACTCAAAGAAGAAGATAGAGATGATTGCAACTCATGGTACCTTGACAATGGAGCAAATATGTGGGCCACAAAGACAAGTTTGTGGAGATAAAAAGACGGTGAAAGGTAATGTGTCTTTTGGAGATACCTCAAAGATCCAAATTGAAGGGATAGGTACGATTCTGATATCCTGTAAAGATGATGGCCATAAATTGATTAACAATGTTTATTATGTGCCAAAATTGAAAAGTAATATTTTCAGTTTGGGTCAACTTCTTGAAAAAAGATATGATATTCATATGAAAAATATGCATCTTTGGCTTAGAGATTCAAGTAACAACTTAATTGCTAAAGTTCAAATGGCAAAGAATAGGTTGTTCTCTTTGAATCTTAAAATTATCGATGCAAAGTGTTTGAAGGCTAATATGCAAGATGACTCATGGTACTGGCATATGAGATTTGGGCATTTGAACTTTGAAGCACTCAAATCAGTGGGAGACAAGAACATGGTTGTTGGAATTCCGTCAATCAACCATCCAAATCAGTTGTGTGAAACTTGTCTTCTTGGAAAACATGCAAGGAGGAGTTTTTCAAAGGAGACTACATTAAGAACAAGTGAACCACTTCAACTTGTACATACCTATGTGTGTGCTCCAATCGATCCACCTTTTTTTGGTAAAAGAAAATACTTCTTGCTCTTTATTGATGATTTCAGTAGAAAGACTTAGGTATATTTCTTGAAGCTAAAATCTGAAGTTTTTGTTGCCTTTAAAAATTTCAAAGCACTTGTAGAAAAAGAAAGTGGCTATGAAATAAAGCATTAAGGTTCGATAGAGGAGGCGAATTCACTTCAAAAGAATTTAATGACTTTTTTCAATCTCGTGGAATTCATCGCCCTCTAACGGTACCTTACTCGCCCCAACAAAATGGAGTCGCAGAAAGAAAGAATAGAACAATTCTTAATATGGCTAGATGTATGTTGAAAGCTAAACATCTACCAAAAGAATTTTGGGTCGAGGCTGTTTCTTGTGCAGTTTATTTGAGCAACAGGTCTCCAACAAAAAATGTAAGAGACCAAACACCTCAAGAAGCATGGAGCGGAAGAAAGTCAAATATCAAGAACTTGAGAATCTTTGGGAGCATAGCCTATGCTTATGTTTCACATCGAGGGAGAGCTAAACTTGACGATCGTAGTGTCAAGTATGTGTTTGTTGGCTATGACGCGAGTTCAAAAAGCTACAAATTGTACAGTCCAAGCAATAACAAGGAGGTGGTGAGTCGTGATGTTGAATTTGATGAAGAAGCATCATGGAATTGGGAGGCTCCGGAAGAAAGAACATATGATTTTCTTCCATACTTTGGAGATGAAGAAGAGCAGGAGACCATGGCACCTGCACAAGATGCAACCCCACCTCCTTCACCAGCAAATGTTGCATCTCCGTCTACTTAAGAGAGTTCAAGTGAAAGACCGCATAGGATGAGGAGCATCCAAGAACTCTATTATGACACAGAAGAAATTACTAATTTTGATTTTTTGTGTTGTTTCTTTGCTAATAGTGAACCAATGAATTTTGATGAAGCTGTTACTGACAAAAGGTGGAGACAAGCCATGGAGGAGGAGATCCAGTCAATAGAGAAGAACAACACTTGGGAGTTAACGACTCTTCCTAAGGATCATTGAGCAATTGTAGTCAAATGGGTATACAAGGCGAAGAAATATGCCCATGGAGAGGTAGAGAGATACAAGGCAAGACTTGTGGTCAAAGGCTACAAACAAAGGCATGGCATCGACTATGAGGAAGTTTATGCACCTGTTTCCCGCATGGAGACGATCCGTCTATTGATCTCTTTAGCAGAACAAATTAAGTGGAAGATTCATCAACTAGATATCAAATCGGCATTCTTGAATGAATATCTTGAAGAAGAAGTCTATGTTGAGCAACCATTGGGTTTTGTGGTTAAAAATCATAAAGATAAGGTGTTGAGGTTAAATAAAGCCATATATGGGTTGAAGCAAGCTCCACGAGCTTGGAATAGTCACATTGACAAATACTTCTAGACAATGGGTTTACTCGTTGTCTCCATGAATATGCTCTTTACATTAAAGTTCATACTAATGGAGATATTCTGCTTGTTTGTCTGTATGCTGATGATCTGATTCTAAAGGGTAACAACCCAATTTTATTTGAAGCTTTTAAGAAAGTTATGTCCTTTGAGTTTGAGATGACGGACATAGGGCTCATGTCATATTACTTGGGCCTAGAAGTGAAGCAAACGGAGGAAGGAATCTTCATATCTCAAGAAAGTTATACAAAAGAGATTTTGAAGAAGTTTAATATGTTCGATTGCAACCCTGTGAACAGTCCAATGGAAAGTGGAACAAAATTGTCAAAGTTTGATGATGGAGAAAAGGTGGACTCCACTCTGTTCAAAAGTCTCGTAGGAAGTCTGAGGTACTTGACATGTATGGGACCAGATATACTCTTTGTAGTTGGAATAGTAAGTCGCTTCATGGAAACTCCCACCTCCACTTACTTGAAGATCGCTAGAAGAATTTTACGTTACCTAAAAGGTACGATCGACCTTGGACTATTTTATTCTTCTTCTGATGATTTTAATCTTGTGGGATATTGTGATAGTGATTATGCGGGAGATGTTGATGATAGAAAAAGCACATCGGGTTTTGTGTTTTTCTTGGATGATTGTGTTATTTCTTGGAGTTCAAAGAAACAATCAATTGTTACTCTCTCAACTTGTGAAGCTGAATACGTGGCAGCGACATCATGTACGTGTCATGCTATTTGGTTGAGGAGATTGTTGAAGGAACTCAATTTGCCGCAAATTGAAGCCACAATGATTTGTGTTGATAACAAATTTGCGCAAGGACTTGTAAAGAATCCAGTGTATCATGATCGGAGCAAGCACATAGACACGAGGTATCACTTTATCCGAGAATGCATTGCCAAGAAAGAGGTAGAGCTCAAGTATGTGAAATCTCATGATCAAATTGCGGATATCTTTACAAAGCCTCTTAAGTTTGAAGATTTTCAGAGATTGAGATCAAGCCTGAAAATAAAAAAGAAAAATCAAAATTAAGGGAGAGATTTGTGGGGTCCATATATATATATAAGCCATCGTTTGTTGCATTAGGCAAACAACATTAGTCTTCCATTGCTGCAAAAATTGCAACAATGTCAAAAAGCTTAAAAGTTGTTTACCTACAAGTTTGAATTGTTAGTGTTCATTGATGTCATTAGTGACATCAAATGGGCATAATTTTTCTTATAAATAGAGCACCTATGCTCATTTGTAAGGACACACCAAAAATAGAGAAGCAATAGAGAGTAGAGAGAGTAATCCACAAGCTATTTCTTAGTTTGTGAGAAAATAGTGTGGAAGTAATATTACTGTGAGTTGTAAGAAATAAAAGAGTGTTTAGTAGTAGTCTTTTGACACTACCAAGTTTTTCATCAATATTATTGTATTACTTACTTGGGTATCATATTTAGCCCATTTTAATATTTGGTGTCGTTGTTACTCTCTTCCTATTGCTATTTAGTTTGGACATTATTCTGAGTGTAATTATCATTTTGTCCAACATAACTTGCTCCTAAATTATTGCATTTCAGTTTACAATATTTCATATTTAGATGCACATACTTTGATGTATTTGCTTAGCATGTATCGGAGAATCGAAATATGGTAGAAATTATAATATCAAACCTCACAGAAAGATAAGTAATTAGCCCCTAAACTAGTGAGATTTGAGTTGTTTGCCCTAAAATTTTCCAACTTTCAAGCATTCTGTTTCAATCCCCAAGATATGATTCGTCGGTCAAAACTTTGACACATGTTTTTGATGTACTATTAAGTGGTACGCATTGAGCTATTTCATAAGGTTCATTGATAGTATGAGCATTCCACAACAAATATAACTATATAAAAGTATCACTCTAGCTACTTTTCTGAAGAATAATTTCTTTAATTCCAATTCACTCCAGTTTGCTTTTAAATTTGGCTTTTCCCAAGTATCACAGAGCTAAATCATGCTCTTTCCAGCTGGCTCATGCAAATTAATACTTTACCTCCATTTCAAGGAAACATATGTATAAAAACATGTAGGGGCTAGGAGAGACTTTCAACAAAATATCCCGACAGTAAGTGAGAATTCTGCAAATAATCAAGCATCAACCATGTCAAATGCACGGTAAAATACCTTCATAATATTATTCTTTACATGTTTTGGTGAAATACTTGTGTTGTGACAATATTTTGGTGTGACATATTGTTTGAAGGAACCTAACATCATCATCATCTAGTCATGATAAAAGTAGCAACGTAGCCATGACAGCACTCGACGGAGTCATAAACGTAAACTCCCTCTTCACCTTAGCCATCTTCGTGGGCCTATCATTTGCATCTCCCGGTAAAAAAACTCTCAACACCCGCCAAAGTTGTCAGCCTGGAATCTTAACCTTGAAACATCTTGTTGTCTTTGAAGTTCTTTCTTTCAGTTTCCTCCTTCTCTCATCACTGGTCGCACAAGCCTTAAAGCTCTCTATCAGCCTTCTCAGCAGTGCAGAAGTCGGTGATGGATTCAGCGTTCACGTTAATCGTAGACTTTTGAGGACTGGAATGCTCATGACTGCTATTTCCTCAGTGATGGGGTGTTTGTTTCTGATGGTTTCAATGTTGAATGTGATTGAGATTAAACTAGGGTTGTTGTCATGTGGAGCTAAATCTACCATACTTGCAGTTACTTCCTTGGTCATTTTAGTTGTATCTGGTCTTCTCTTATATATATTTGTTGCTTGGTACTCCCTCCGTCCACAATTAATTGTCATGGTTTCCTTTTTTAGAGTCAAACAATAAGAACTTTGACCAATATTTTACGATGTATATTTTCATCATATTGATATGCAAAAAATTGCAACTTATAGTACTTTTCGTATAGTTTTTGGATATCTAATTTTTTTTAAAAAAATATCGAATTAACATAATCTAATTTAACTTTAAAAATTATTCAAATTGACTTTCGAAAAGCGCAACATGACAAATAAAAGTGGACAGAGGGAGTATGTATTTACTCATGCAACCATTCACCATCCAAATGAATCAGATAGTTCCTAATCTCTTTAAGTTCGACATTTCAGACGAATCCAATAACTTTTTCGTAAAATCTGTATTTGTATTAGAAAATTAAATAAATATGTATGTTTATTAACTTGTGAAACCCCTAACAAAACTGATTGACGACTTAGTAATAAGGAAGGGATTGTGAAAATGCTTTCCACGCTAGAGTAATTGTGCGTTAACAACAAAAGTTTAACTTTTTATTTATTTTAAAAAATAAAAATAAAATGGAAGCATGCTTTGCAATATTTAAACCTATCATTATTCCAACTTTTTTCTTTTAACAATTTGATCTTCTCTTGTATTCTTCTTTGAAATAATTCATTATATATATGACATTTTAATTTTTTGCAAGATATGTTCAGAAATTTACTTTAATTAATAATCCCTTTGTTCATTTTTACTTGTCACTGTTTTACTTGACACACCCATTAAGAAAATCATTATTGATATATGTATTTTACCACAATATCCTTATTATATTGATGTTTAGTATTAACACTTGGAAAATGATTTGGAGAATATTATTTAATGTTAAGGATAAACCATGAAAAAATAATTGTCATTTTCTTGGTATGTCAAAAGTGATAAGTAAAAATGTAAATCTATTTTAGAAATAAGTGACAAGTAAAAGTGGAAGGAGGGAGTATCATATAATTGTTCACTTTTGACCGACGGGATTCATTAAAGTTCCTTTGAAGATTCTTGTGAAGATTTCTTCTCCGAAGAGAGTTGGGAGAATCTGTAACAAGGTAAGATTTTAGATTGTGTCTTTATATGGTGTATTTCATGTTTAGATACATGTGATTGCAATTTTTAACTAGTGAGACAATATTCAATGATCCTGCAAACTAAGTGTTTGATTAGATTCTTCAATTTGCATTAATGTCACGATCCAAAAATGGGTGTGATGGCACCTGCCTTATTCCATCTAGACAGGTCAATATGAAACCCAACGAAAGAAATAAATGCGGAAGTAAAACATAATACAGAACTAACATAACATTAATAACGCAAAAGTGCATATCATAACACAATGTACCCCCAAAACTTGGTGCCATGTGTACAACTCTCTAATGTATTAAAATAGATTTCAAAATAAATACAAGTCTGAATATTTTTATTTCTAGAACAAAATAAGAACACAATAAAAGAGTAACAGGTGTCCGCCGAAATGAAAACAATTACCTCGCAAGCTCCAATAATAAGCCTCGGTCGTAGAAGAGAAGAAAGAGTAATCCTGATGATTCGGGCTCATAACCTACAGAAGTACAGAAGCAAATGAGTGAGTACCGAACAACAACGGTACTAAGCAAGGAAACCTAACAACATTAATTGAAGCAATATTGAACACAAGTACTCCTACAACATCATCCAAACCTCCATAACTACAACCTGCAAGAGTCAATAAACTCAACCTAACAGTTCTCACTCCATAACAACAAAGCATGTATAGAAACATCACAAATTTTACCTCAACAAACGTTATCATATCACCACATTTCTTTCACAATTCAATAACCACAATAACATATTTATCACGCCCTGAGCCTAAACCATGGATGCGACTGACACTTAAGAACCATTGTTGATTCCCAAGCGAACCCTTGGTCTGGCTCAATACTGAGCGGAAGACTTACTCATAAATATAAAAACTCAAAATTAACTCAACTCATAACAAAACACTTTGACTCAAGTCTCAAGATGATTAACTTAGAACATTTTACAAATATTCAAACTGGCCACAAGGGGCAACTCAAGTCTTAAAGATTAACAAAATGAAAATGGAAAAGACGCATCAACTACTACTTTCTATGAAGCCTCTAATACTATGAGGGATGTCAGGACAAGACCTCCGATCATCCTAACAAAACTAAAATAATGAAAATAAATTACGGATCCTCCGAAAGCAAGGAGGCTCACCAAACAACTCTGGGACTGCAAGTGGTATCAACGAAGCACCAAACAACTCTGGGACTGTAAGTGGTATCCTCGAATGAGATTTATCTAAGTAGAACAAAGGGTGGTACCATCGAACACCCAACTCAAACACTCAACATGCAAATCAACACAACTTATCAACTTAAAAAGTACCAAGAAAAGAATTAGTACCTTGATTTGGAGTTTCTCCGGACTCAAAGAGATGTGGGTATCTCTGCTTCATTCCCTCCCCAGCCTCCCAAGTAGCTTCCTTACCAAACGGATTCCTCCATAAGACCTTGACTGATGCTACCTCCTTGGTTCTCAACTTGAGAACCTGACGATCAAGTATCTCAACGAGAATATCCTCATAAGATAGATTATCCTTAATACAAATATTTTTAGTAGGTATAATAAGGTAAGGATCGCCCATACACTTCTTCAACATTGAAATGTGGAATATTGGATGAACTGCTGCTAACGCTGGCAGTAGCTCCAACTCATAGGCTACATTGCCGATCCTCTTGGATATCCTATGAGGACCAATATACCGGGGACTAAGCTTCTCCTTCTTGCCAAACTTCATAATACACTTCATGGGTGAAACCTTCAAATAAACCCAATCGTCCACCTCAAACTCCAAGTCTCTTCTCCTAACATCGGTATAGGACTTCTGACGACTCTACGTTGTTTTCAACCTTTCTTCAATAGTCTTCACTTTCTCCATAGATTGATGAACCAAGTCTGGTCCTATCAACCCAGCCTCGCCAACCTCAAACCATCCAAAAGGAGGTCTACATCTTCTCCCATAAAGAGCACCATTAGAAGCCATCTGGATGCTAGAGTGATAATTATTATTGTAAGCAAACTCAATGAGAGGTAAGTGATCATCCCAATTGTCCTTAAAATCGATCACACACGCCCTCAACATATTCTCTAAAGTTTGAATTGTACGCTCTGCGTCTTAGGATGAAAAGCAGTACTCAAATTTACCTTGGAACCCAAACCTTTATGGAAATACTTCCATAATTGTGTGGTGAATTGCGCACTTCTATATGAATGATGGACACCGAAACTCCATGAGGTCTGACTTTCTCTTAAATATATAATCTGGCATAATTCTCTGCTGAATAGGTAGTCTTTACCAGTAAGAAATTGGCTGATTTAGTCATCCGATCTACAATCACCTAAATAGAATCATGTTGCATCCGCGACCGCGACAACCCAGTAATGAAATCCATATTGACCATCTCCCACTTCCATTCCAGAAGATCTATGTGCTGAGCCATACCATCGGGCCTCTAGTGCTCTACCTTGACTTGTTGGCAATTCGGGCACTTAGCAACGAACTCTGCAATACACTTCTTCATACTACTCCACCAATAGACTTCTCTCAAGTCATGATACATCTTTGTGGAACCCAGATGGATAGAGTATCTGGACCTATGAGCTTTATCTATTATCCTCTCTTGAAGTTCATCCACCTTTGGAACTCACAATCTACCTTGATACCTCAACACACCACCTCCCCCTTGTTCAAAAGCCATCACTTTCTTTTTATGAACATTTGACATCAGTTCAAGCAAAACAAGGTCTTGGTCTTATTTATCTTTTACTTCAGACACTAGTGATGATTCATCCCCATTCATCACCACCACTCCTCCTTCATTGGAATCCATTAACCGGACTCTTATCTGTGCAAGTATGTGCACATCTTTGGCTAATTCTTTCTCGTCCTCCTCAACATGAGAAGCACTGCCCATATATGGTGTATTTCATGTTTAGATACATGTGATTGCACTTTTTAACTAGTGAGACAATATTCAATGATCCTTCAAACTAAGTGTTTAATTAGATTCTTCAATTTGCATTAATATCACGATCCAAAAATGGGTGTGATGGCACCTGTCTTATTCCATTTAGATAGGTCAATCTGAAACCCAACGAAAGAAATAAATGCGGAAGTAAAACATAATATAGAACTAACATAACATTAATAACGCAAAAGTACATATCATAACACAATGTACCCCAAAAACTTGGTGCCATGTGTACAAGTCTCTAATGTATTAAAATAGATTTCAAAATAAATACAAGTCTGAATATTTTTATTTCTAGAACAAAATAAGAACACAATAAAAGAGTAACAGGTGTCCGCCGAAATGAAAACAATTACCTCGCAAGCTCCAATGATAAGCCTCGGTCGTAGAAGAGAAGAAAGAGTAATCATGATGATTCGGGCTCATAACCTACGTAAGTATAAAAGCAAATGAGTGAGTACCGAACAACAACGGTACTAAGCAAGGAAACCTAACAACAATAATTAAAGCAATATTGAACAAAAGTACTCCTACGACATCATCCAAACTTCCATAACTACAACCTGCAAGAGTCAATAAACTCAACCTAACAGTTCTCACTCCATAACAACAAACCATGTATAGAAACATCACAAATTTCACCTCAACAAATGTTATCATATCACCAGATTTCTTTCACAATTCAATAACCACAATAACATATTTGTCACGCCCTGAGCCTAAACCATGGATGTGACTGGCACTCGAGAACCATTGTTGATTCCCAAGCGAATCCTTGGTCTGGCTCAATACTGAACGGAAGACTTACTCATAAATATAAGAACTCAAAATTAACTCAACTCATAACAAAATGCTTTAACTCAAGTCTCAAGATGATTAACTTAGAACATTTTAAAAATATTCAAACTGGCCACAAGGGTAAACTCGAGTCTTAAAGATTAACAAAATGAAAATGGAAAAGACGCATCAACTACTACTTTCTATGAAGCCTCTAATACTATGAGGGATGTCGGTACAAGACCCCCGTTCATCCTAACAAAACTAAAATAATGAAAATAAACTAGGGATCCTCCGAAAGCATGGAGGCTCACCAAATAACTCTGGGACTGCAAGTGGCATCAACGAAGAACCAAACAACTCTGGGACTGCAAGTGGTATCCTCGATTGAGATTTATATAAGTAGAACTAAGGGTGGTACCATCGAACACCCAACTCAAACACTCAACATGCAAATCAACACAATATATCAACTTAAAAAGTACCAAGAAAAGAATTAGTACCTTGATTTGGAGTTTCTCTGAACTCAAAGAAATATGGGTATCTCTTCTTCATTCCCTCCCCAACCTCCGAAGTAGCTTCCTTAACAAACTGATTCCTCAATAAGACCTTGACCGATGCTACCTCCTTGGTTCTCAACTTGAGAACCTAACGATCAAGTATCTCAACGGGAATATCCTCATAAGATAGGTTGTCCTTAATACAAATATTTTTAGTAGGTATAATCAGGTAAGGATCGCCCATGCACTTCTTCAACATTGAAATGTGGAATATTGGATGAACTGCTGCTAACTCTGGCAATAGCTCCAACTCATAGGCTACATTGCCGATCCTCTTGGATATCTTGTAAGGACCAATATACCGGGGACTAAGCTTCTCCTTCTTGCCAAACTTCATAATACACTTCATGGGTGAAACCTTCAAATAAACCTAATCGTCCACCTCAAACTCCAAGTCTCTTCTCCTAACATCGGTATAGGACTTCTGACGACTCTACGTTGTTTTCAACCTTTCTTCAATAGTCTTCACTTTCTCCATAGATTGATGAACCAAGTCTGGTCCTATCAACCCAGCCTCGCCAACCTCAAACCATCCAAAAGGAGATCTACATCTTCTCCCATAAAGAGCACCATTAGAAGCCATCTGGATGCTAGAGTGATAATTATTGTTGTAAGCAAACTCAATGAGAGGTAAGTGATCATCCCAATTGTCCTTAAAATCGATCACACACGCCCTCAACATATTCTCTAAAGTTTGAATTGTACGCTCTGCGTCTTAGGATGAAAAGCAGTACTCAAATTTACCTTGGAACCCAAATCTTTATGGAAAGACTTCCATAATTGTGTGGTGAATTGCGCACCTCTATATGAATGATGGACACCGAAACTCCATGAAGTCTGACTTTCTCTTAAATATATAATCTGGCATAATTCTCTGCTAAATAGGTAGTCTTTACCAGTAAGAAATTGGCTGATTTAGTCATCCGATCAACAATCACCTAAATAGAATCATGTTGCCTCCGAGACCGCGACAACCCAGTAATGAAATCCATATTAACCATCTCCCACTTCTATTTCGGAAGATCTATGTTCTGAGCCATACCACCGGGCCTCTGGTGCTCTACCTTGACTTGTTGGCAATTCGGGCACTTAGCAACGAACTCTGCAATACACCTCTTCATACTACTCCACCAATAGACTTCTCTCAAGTCATGATACATCTTTGTGGAACCCAGATGGATAGAGTATCTGGACCTAACAGCTTCATCTATTATCCTCTCTTGAAGTTCATCCACCTTTGGTACACACAATCTACCTTGACACCTCAACACACCATCTCCCCCTTGTTCAAAAGCCATTCACTTTCTTCTTATGAACATCTGCTTTCAATTCAAGATAAACAAGGTCTTGGTCCTATTTCTCTTTTACTTCGGACACTAGTGATGATTCATCCCCATTCATCACCACAACTCTTCCTTCATTGGAATCCATTAACTGAACTCCTATCCGTGCAAGTCTGTGCACATCTTTGGCTAATTCTTTCTTGTCCTCCTCAACATGGGAAGTACTGCCCATAGATAACCTGCTCAAAGCATCAACAACAACCTTAGCCTTACCTTAGTGATAGAGAATTCTCATGTCATAATCCTTGAGTAACTCTAACTACTTCATTTGTCTGAGATTAAGCTCTTTCTAACTGAATACATAATGAAGACTCTTTTGATCGATGAACACATATACATGAACACCATAAAGATAGTGACGCCATATTTTCAAAGCAAACATTACCACAACCAACTCTAGATCATAGGTTGGGTAATTCTTCCCATGAATTTTAAGTTGTCTTGAGGCATAAGATATAACCCTGTCATTCTGCATTAATACACTACTCAGTCCAACTTTGGATGCATCACAATACTAAACAATGCCTTGTGTACCCTCCAGTAAGGTCAACACTGGGCAGTAGTCAACCGCATTTTCAATTCCTCAAAGCTCTTCTCACAAGCTTCAGACCACTAAATCTTGTTGTCTTCTGAGTCAACTTAGTCAACGGGGATAAAATAGATGAGAACCCCTTAACAAACCTCCTATAATAACCATCCAATCCCAAGAAACTCCTAATATGAGTGTCAACTCGAATCCCATCACCAGAAACAATGTGGCTTATGAATGCCACAGACTCAAGCCAAAATTCGCACTTGGAAAATTAGGCATACAACTCCTTATCCTTTAGAGTTTGGAGAACTACTCTAAGATGACTAGCATGATCTTCCTCATTCCTCGAATAAATTAGGATGTCATCAATGAATACAGTAACAAACATATCAAGATAAGGCTTAAACACGAGATTCATAAGGTCCATGAACGCTGCAGGAGAATTAGTCAAACCAAAAGACATGACTAGAAACTCATAATGACCATAGCGGGTCCTGAATATTGTCTTAGGAATGTCGTTTTCTCTTACTCTCAACTGATGATAACCAGATCTAAGGTCTATCTTAGAAAAAACAAGTGGCACCCTGAAGTTGATCGTAAAGATCATCAATTCTCAGAAGAGGATACTTATTCTTTATGGTAACCTTGTTCAATTAGCAGTAATCAATACACATCCTAAGTGAACCATCTTTCTTCCTCACAAATAAGACTGGAGCGCCCCAAAGTGCGACACGTGGTTGAATGAAACCTTTATCAAGAAGATATTTCAACTGCTATGTTAACTCTTTCAACTCTGCTAGAGCCATTCTATATGGAAGAATAGAGATAGGACGAGTTTCAGGAAGAATATCTATACCGAAGTCTATTTCTCTCTCAGGAGGGACTCCGGGAAGATCATCTGGAAAGACCTCCGGAAACTCACTCACAACTGGAACTGACTGAATAAGTGGTGTCTCAACCCTAGAGTCATTATCTCGGACTAAGTGATAGACGCACCCCTTGGAAACTAAATTTCTGGCCTTAAGGTACTAAATGAAACGACTCTTAGGCACCGCTGAACTACTCATCCACTCAAAACCTGGCTCATTAGAAAACTAGAACTTTACTACTTGAATCCTACAATCAACTGAGGCATAACAAGCATGAAGCCAGTCCATGCCTAGAATAACATCAAAATCCACCATATCTAGCTCAACTAAATCATAGTGTCCTTGTGATTGAAAGAAATGACACAATCACGATAAACTCTCTTAGCTAGAATAGACTCACCAACAGGTGTGGAAACACTGAAGGGCTCAAGAAGTTTTTTGGGAATAATATCGAACCTCATAGCAATATATGAAGTCACAAAAGATAGACTCGCACCAAGATCAAGTAAAGCATAAACATCAAAAGTAAAGACTTTGATCATACCAGTGACGACATCTGGTGAACTCTCTTATTCTTGACGATTGGTGATAACATACAGACGGTTTACTCCTTCGCATGTTCCTGAAGTAGCTCATCTAGGTGCAACTATGTCTGGTGGAGCCACTGAAGAAAATTGGGCTCTATTGCCCCCATTACCACTAACCTGCCTGTTCTTAGGGCACTCTCCATGAAGTGACCATTCTGACCACACTTGAAGCAACCAGTGGAGCCATCACGACACGCTCCTGGGGTGCTTCCTACCACACTTAGCACATGCAGGAGTCCAATTACCTCTTTGTGCCTTACTACCTTGAGATTGTACAGGTCTAGCTCTAAAGTTTTGAGTATTCTAATTCTTAAACTGACTTTTGTTCCTTAGTGCAGGTGCACTACCAGATGATGGAGCAGGTCCAGTTGGCTTTTGCTGAAAAGATTACCGATTCACTTTACCCTTCTGCTGCCCAGACTCATTACCTATTGTCTTGGCCTTCTTGTTCCGGAACTCTTCTCTATATCTCAGCTTATCTTCCTCAACCAGCTGCACATGGATCATAAGCCTTGCTATGTCCATATCCCCTATCAACATCACAGCCTTACCCTCTTTGCTTGACAGACGAGACAATCCAGACACAAACAAGCTCATCCTACTCCTCATATCAACAACCATCTCCGGAGCATAACGGGAAAGTTGAGTAATCTTGAGGCTGTACTTAGGGGTGGCAATTTCAACCCATATTAATGAAATGAGTCCATTTTGCCCATATTTAATGACTTGGATCACTCATATTTTAATTGGTTAACTATGAGCTTCAAACTATTTTAAGAGTCTCTACAAATATGGTCAAAATGGATTAAATATGGGTATCCATATTAATCCATAATAGATCACTTAGTTTTTCACTTCCACTCAAAATTCTTAATTGTGCTAAGAAATAAAAAATTTAATATTAATTTTAAAAAATTCAATTAATTTTCAAACTTAATTGAAAAACCATATTTTTTTTGTTTGTTTTTGGAAAACAAAAAAAAATTAGGGGTAGGTTGGTGGAAGGGGGGAGCCCTGAGGGGTGGGGGGTACCTGGGGAGGGATAAATTTATTTATTTTTTGAAAAAATAGATTTTTTTATTTTTGGAAAACAAAAAATATTTAGTGGTCGGTTGGTGGAA